ACAAAAAACCCAAAACAACATCTGCAACAATCAACAAAACATTCTGCCACTTTCTAGAGTCCTGTTTGCAGACTGTTGTAATCAAGTTTAAGAGGCTACTATCCCAGCTAAATATTCCATCTGTATTCACTTCGAGTAGCACAGATGCCTGAAGTGAGCCAAGGCTGGAACTTGAGCCATTGCATAGAAAATCTGGTACTACAGACTAAACCAACAAAGGAGGGGGGGTCCAGTTAAGGCAATGGACTTGGCACTGGAGCAGTTCTGAACTAATTCATGTTCTCGGGGATAGAAAAAATGCACATGATAACTTCTTATCACAGAGAACTTTTGCTGAGCTTTTGTGCCAGAATCTTGACCTCTATAAATAATTGAAAGACCTGTTTTCCAAAGRTATTGGGGTACCTAGAAGAAATTAAGGAGACAGAGGGGGATTAAAAAAAAAAGTTATTTGCCTAATTTCCTCTGAAATCAGAGGAAAATGGCTCTAATCTGTATTTTTGGAAATCTGCARTCAGGTAAATCATTTACACTGGATTTAGTGTATTAAAAGCTGTACATTTTTCCCTGAACCACACTCTATGGACACTAGAGTAAGGAATTTTTACAGGTAGTTTTATTCTGACATTTCCTGGCTTTTTAATCCTAGTCTTTGACTTCTGAAAAGTATTGACTCAATTTTCACGCATGACAAAGAATCCACCAGTGTCAATAAAACATGAGATTTTACATTAATAGTGACAGAATTTTCATTCACATTTAGACTTGACTGAAAAATGTACATGATTTCCACCGTGTTACCTTGAATGAGGACTCTATCTGTCAATTTAAGTAACTTTCACTCCTTTCTTATTCGTCATACAGCTTTTATCCCTTCAGACACCTTTTCTGTTTGATCTATATTCTACAACAAACCTCCACAACTTCAACTTTTCCATCTTTCCTGAGATGTATTTCCTCATATTTCAATTACCAGTGGCCTGGCGTTTCATTTGCTCTCTCTTTCTCCGTAACTTTTGTTACCTGATTTAGCCCTGGAAAACACCCACAGGGAATATTACCTCAGCAGTGATCGGAGCTGTAAAATCCAGGCTGCGTTTCTGAGGTGCAATATGCTATTGCAGCACCTTCAGCAGGGCGTTCTGYGTGCACCAGGTGAATATTTCCCGATGCACTAAAGCAATGATGCCCCAGCTGCCTCTGCTCCTCTCTGGGGCACTCGCTGTCTATAGGGATCGGGATTAACCACAGTCTCCCTGTGCTGCCTGATGTCAGAGCTGAGAAAGGTGTCCAGGATATATAAGTGCCGTATTACTTGCCAGAAAGAAAGAGGGAAAAGGATACTCCGGCGTGGAATTGTTGCATGMACACTTCTTGCTAACCAAGAGGGCTCAGTGGCTTCTCCAGTTAGATCCGTGACCACAGAAAGGTAAATAATTTCCCTTTTATCTTTCTTTACCTGCAGTGCAACAGATGTGCTTTAGGAAAGCACAGCATCCCCTCTGATCAATCRACAGCATTTTCCAGGAAAAGGCAAAGACAGCTTCAAAGTAAACTGCACTGGGGACCAGAATGTGAGACTGGGATATGTCAGGAAATGCAAACCAGAGATAAGGGATAGGATTGAAACTCCTGGATGGGAAATGAGGTTTTGCTGCTGAGAACTRTATTTCTGAAACTGCATTGTGTCACAAAACTTGAGGGGAGGGATCATTTTTCTCAMTCTAGCCTGTGAAAAAGACTAGCTGCTCTTGATTTAGGACAGAATGGGCTTCACTAATAGGATATGCTGAAGAGTATTTGGGTTTGCTTTCAGTTTTGAATCATTATTCTTTTCAGAAAGTTTGGAAGGAAAGATGTRCAACCTAAAGCTGTCAGTTTTCTTCATTGCACTTTCTGTCACTCTGAGCTGTTTGGAAGCTACACCTATCGAGAAGTGAGTAATAAATAATCACATTTATTTCTTTTTAGGGAAAAAAGTGCTCAGGTTATTGCATGAATTGCTTTTGCGTTCGTGTCACAAACAATACAAAAATAGAGTTATTCAATCTCACTATTTTACTGTTGTTCAAAGATTGCTGTCTGTGGCTGATGATCTGTCTGATGGTACCTCCAAGAGACAAGGATGGATGCTGCCTGTAATGCCACAGAATACACTCTCAGGACTCAGTGAGGAAATGCCACAACAACCAGCAGCAAAGACAAAAAGGTATTGATTTTCCATGTTTATTCCAATCATATCAGATTGAATCATGAAGCAAACTTTGTTCCAGTGATACCCTGCCACTTGAGACTCTGCTTCTGCTGTTTTTTCTCCAAAAAAAAAAAAAAAAAAAAAAAAAAGAGATTAAAAGAGCCTTCTACTAAATAGAGCTTTTCTGTAAGCATAAACATCAGCTTCTCTGGAACATAAAGATCAAAACATTCAGGGTAGAAAGTGAAATCCAGGGGTAAAGTTTCAAATAATTTAATCACTTTACAATTATAACAATTTCACAAATTACAAAGGCTGAAAATACTACATTACCTTGAAAAGTAAGGTGTATTTCGAAAATGCCTTCTTTTTAGAAAACTTTGTCAGATTTCCAAGCCTGAAGGGGAAAGAAAAAACATATTATTCTTAATAATGCTATTGCTCTGCTAGAATGGAATTACTTTATAGTAAAAAAGCTTTCAGTAAGCAAGTAAATTTTTAATCACATAATTAAATATGAATTTAATCGTGGGAAGAATGAAAAGAACAAATTGGTTCTGATAGAATTTAACTTGTCTGAAAYGAATTCACATTTATAAATTCATAAATCCATAAATTTTAGTCAACTTTTTAATGCATAAAAAACATTTCAAGAAGCAGTTACAATTTGTTCTAAAATATATGCAGCACTGAGCTATTCTATTTTTCACAGAATCATCAGTGTTGAAAGTTCATCTAGCTCCAAGTTCATCTAGTTTTGTCAGGCTTTTGAGTGAATTTCTTTCAATGCTTTTATGGATATATTCAGTAAATACACACATATATGTAGTTGCCTGTTCCTCTCTCCTCGAATATATATTAAAAAATTACTATTACACAACAATTTTGCTGCCTTCCAAAATATTTTTATAATGGAGACAATGTTCTCACATTTTTACAGCTATTACTTAAAAAAAAATAAATAAAAAACTCCCCAAATAAGTGTAATACTCAAACACAAGGCATSACCTTTATGAGTGTGGTGTGCCTGATCTGCTTTTCTGCAGCCCAGAACTGTGTCTCACTGGGTGAATTCTCTGCTGGAAGCTCACATTCATTTAAAGGCTACAGAGCAGAGATCTAGAAGGGGCAGTGGGTCCAGGCTGGACATGAGTTAAAAACCAAACATTTTCCTGTAAGGGATTAAGTTTTACACTTGGGGTGTCAGGCCTAATTTTATAGCTTTAATGACAAAGAGAATTCTGCCTCCAGRAACAAAGCAGGATCTCCATGAGAACCACTTACTCTGAAATTCTTATGTTAAGGACTTGATTAAAATCAATAGAAATACCCATGAAAATCAAAGAGAGGTTCTGTCAAGCCCTATCCAAACATTTTCTTTTAATGCTATTATACATTTAGAATATTAATTGTTTAAAAATTGTTGCACATCTACTGATGAAGAAACAGTTTAATACAGACATTTCTCTCACAGCTGCCATTCCATTTGGATTCTTAGATCAATAAAAGTAATTTAAAAAGGCTACAGGACATTTTAGATGACAGATTTAATAATCGATAAACAAAGGAACATATTGGCAACTGCTCAGAGTTTGAAAATGGGAAATTGTTGCTGTTCACAGTAAATTTTAGCTGCAAACTCAGATCTACCTCATGCCACATCAGGAAAATGAGCAACAATTCAGTAGGCAATCTCAGCAAGCAAGTATTTCTGTGTGAAGGAACAGCACAGCAGTCTAAGACACAACTTTAAAAACCCAAGCTCTCTCAAGTTAATAATTTTATCACAATTAAAAAAAAAAAACCCTCATGTTTTGTTGAGGGGTTCCTTCACATGGAGTTCTGCAAATGGTCTGTTGGTTCAGATAATAAAATGATAAAATATCATTTTTAGATATGGATTCTTMCATGGACACTCCTTAAAGTATCATTCAGCAAATGATTTTCTCCCACCACAACAAAACTTTCAGGTTGCTGGTGTTTCAAAAAATATGTGGCAGTTTTTCAGTAGGTAAAATCTCTGTTTAATCAGAGCTTAATGGCAGAGAGAGAGAGCTAAAGACCATCTTAAGTGGTACTGAAGTTGGCAGAAGGTGGCAATGCCTGTGACCTCTCATGATATGTGGTCCAGCTGGGAGAAAGAGTCTTTGGGTTTAGTCCACTTGATGTGGGCTGGAATATTACCACTCATTTCAGTGAGAGCRGGATATGATTCTGTGGGAACAGGAGAACTAAATAAATGTTAGTGATTATCATTTTGTTAGTAATCCTCATGATATCAGCAAGAGCTCTAAATAGATTCAGAAGTTCAGCTGCAAGTTAAACATTTAGTCATTGCTTTCACTCAGTGTCTTACCTATACTATCATTACGGTTTTGTAGGTGTCATAAACTGCTGTGCAGGATATCAATAAAAACGACATATGACTGTTCAGGTCTCTGCATTTCAATAACCCCCATCATTAAACCCAATAAGAGCACCCAGCACAAGGATTTTTTTAAGGCACAAAGTAGGTGGTGGGAAGACTGTAATGTTCCTGTATTTGTGCACATATTAAAAGAACTCCCACGTTAGCAGAGCTCAAATGACTGTGAGCAGTCGATTGCTCATCCCTTGACTTCATCTGGGCTCTTTTTTGGTTTCACCTTGGCAGTCACCAGCTGGAGAAGAGGAAATGCAACACCGCCACGTGTGTGACACAGCGTTTGGCCGATTTCCTGGTGCGCTCCAGCAGCAGCATCGGCGCCGTTTACTCACCCACCAACGTGGGCGCCAACACCTACGGCAAGAGGGACACAGYGGGGCTATCGAACAGAGAACCCCAAAACCGTGCACAGCTTTAGGGTGTTGAGATGGCTGCTGATGCCGTTTTCGTTCAGTTTTTCATGTATCAACAACCTCTTGGTCATTTATTACTCGTACAGTCTTACCAGTGCCTTGTTTTCTGTGTGTGTGTGATTTATGTTCCTCATTCCACTGCGCGTGTACAAAGACATGCATAGGCTGCTCCTTCAATTCCATTAAGAACTCCATTAACTGCTTGTTAAATTTATTTGCAAAAAACTATCATGACAATAAATGGAAAAGTAATTGCAACAGGGTTTTATTATTATTATTAAAAGGATAAAAAAGATAACGCATAAGGTGTATGTCTTTATAGTGACTGATAAGAGAAAGAAAACATCTTAATTAAAGAGCACCAAATACCAGAATGCTAGCAAAAGTGACATCCTAATGAAAAGAAAACAGAAGAATCTTCTGGTTTTGAAATGCCTACAGGATCTTGGTTGGACAACTGAAGGAACAGTTACATGAGAAAAGATGCTGCAGTGTGCCCCATAATCACACGATTATGCAGTTTGCTGACTGGTTGTCTCCACTGTAACATACATCAAGCAAGGAAAAGTGGTCTTGCAGCAGATTTCTGTGCCTACTGAGCAGGGAATTTTAAGGATTTGCAGTTTCTTATTTTAAGATGGTATCAGTAAAATATAAGCATAAAGAGCGTAAGTGCTTTTAAATATGAATACGGTAAAGCTCTGATGACAATCTAGCAGAAATTCCTGTCCTTGGGTATTACTTTTCTTGAACTAGAGTAATGAAGAGAAGAGAAAAATACAATGAGTATCTCAAGAACCAAAACATATCATATAAACTGGGTCATTTTGTCCACTGGCGTACTTATATTGCCACCAAAATCCAGGGAAACTATTTTACAGATGGACAGACCTTAATGAGAATATAACAGTGTTATTTTCTCCTATCTCATCACAGAATCAGTGCAGGTTTAAAAACCATGTTTGTTCCTTTAAATTGTTAAGCAAATTTTGATTGAGGTGACATCTTATATGACGGAAAGGGTTGTTTTGTCCACASTTTCCCAGTGAAGGGTTCACTATTATTTGAAAAAAATTATTGTCCAATTATGAAAAATATTCAGCAGAACCTTAGCTCTGGAGAAGCAAATGAAATTTTAATACCTGCCTTCAGTTGGTTTGTGTCTATTATTTATACATTAAAATAGAAACATTTTTGCTAAGTTTAATGTAAAACGGCAAAAACTTCGTTTCACAAAAAATACACGGGAATAAAAATTACTGCACAGAATTTCTACTGTAAAAGTGTTACTAATTACTCTTTTTAGTGAGGAAAGTTTCAACCTTCATTAATGTTCTAATGGATATTAGTTCTGAATTTTATTGAGAAAACCATTTATATAGTATTAAGGTGTCTAATATTTCTGACAGCTTGAAATGCTTTCCATTCCAGTTACTTTTATCTGCACACCCTTTTTGTGTTTAGCTTGTTTTTCAGTCAGAATATTTATTTTTCAGGAAATAAATGATAAAATGAGAGAGTAGCTTTGAAGTGGCACTGTGACAAGGTTTGTGCAGAGGAGTGGAGCCTTCCCTGTGGGTGGATGCTGATCTCTAGGCTGATCCCAGCCCGGAATATGAGCAATGCTTTATGCACCAGCTTTCATTTTTTCAGACAAACCCCAACAAAGCACAGGACCAGTGGAACTGAGTACATTAATTTCTGCTTTATGCAGAAATTATTCTGAATCTGGATTTGACAAAAGCATCTCACATGGTCATGTTATTTGGCAAATACTGAGGAATGTAACTCAACTCCTAAATCAGTGGAACCACAGAGAGAGAAGAGGGCACCCATCTCACCTGCCTTCAGCTCCTCTTTGTCTAACCAGTTGTCAGTGCTCTCCTGCTCTTTGGTGGAGGAAGACAGCTACTTCCAATTCATCCCAGCTTAGACACCTATTTTAGGATGGGATGAATCACTCCTGAAGTACCCTCTATTTCTTCGTTGACGATAGAGTGTGTCTAGACAATTAGCTGAAAATGAGCACTTAACTTTAAGATAAYTAGAGTTAGGTGACAGGAATCTCATCTGCATTTGGTATGTGAACCGTTCAAACTAAAATAAAAGAGAAAAAAATTGGTAGAAAACCCACACCACCAACACCTCAGAC